AAAAAAAAAAGCCAAGTGCTCCTGCCAGGCTGCTGCCAGTAACAGGGTGAGCACAGACTTATAGATTATATATAGTAAGTCATTATAATAGAGTTTGAAGGCAGGTTTGGATCCTAGAGAAAACAGTTACAATTTTGCTACTTCTGCAGCAGTAATTTCCCCATGGCTTTGCTTATGTTGATCTCTGTTCCTGTTTCTCAGAGCCCACAGCTACATACATTATATCCAAGTATATGTCTGAAACTCCATAACCTTTGCCAGAGTAACTCTCCAGGAAGCTCTCCTGACCTTTACTTAAGATAAAGAAACCAACTGAAATAAAGAAATAAAAGTTCCTTTGATAATACTGTGTAAGCTGTGGCTAACAGCATTAATAAAATAGCCATATTAGGAGAATTTCCTTATCACCAAAAGCAGTGACCAGCTTCAATGGAGCTTTTCATTCACAGTTCACAAATTATTTTCCAAGAATCATTGACTTGTTGTGTAACGATAATTGTGGGTTAATAGAAGTCCTAAGTGAACTTTGTACTCTTACACAAAGGATGTATGCATACATGACTATATTTGAACACAGCTCCATATGTAGGATAACATATCTGATTTTTAACTTATAGAATAGTTTTGGCTTTCATATTATAATTTAATTTAAAAAAAAAAAAAAAAAAAAAAAAAAAGGTTTTTAAACCCAAGGGAAAAAAAAAAAAAGGTCTTTGAAGCCAGAGGTAAAAAAAAAGAAAAAATGTTACAAAGGGCAACTTTAAAAGTTACCACGGTTGTTGGTTGGTACATGTACAGGAACTGCTAGAGAAAAACAAAAATAAATTGTTGCTATGCAGGTATACTGTCAGAGCCCAGGGAACCAAAAAAAATTTTTTTTTCTTCTTTTTGCCCCACAAAATGTTGTTATGAATACTTCTAAAATTCTTCTTAAAACAGTTTCTAAATAACTGGAAAAAATCCTCTAAAAGATTTATAAGAAAACTCAACAAGTCCGAATTTGGGTTTTTTGGGTTAAAGACTATTTTAATGCAATTCTTTCTAATCTAATTTTAATCCTAACATTTCAGTACATGAATGCTGTATTTAACAGCTATCTGGTTTAGTGAACTGCAGTAATTCACTCTGATAGGATAAATTATTTAAGTTATATAGCAAAATGGAAAAGCTACCATGTGCTCTGCTGCAATCAGCAGATACTGTTTAGAAGAGACCTCTGATGATGGAGAGAAGCCTTGCCATGAGGAAGAAAGATGCATAAAGAATCTCCAAAGTCTGTGACTTTGTCAGATAACGTTTCTCATGCCATTTCTTTACTACGCCCTTGCAACCACCCAAAACCACAAAACAGCAGGTACAGTGAAGGGGAGCCAGCGTTTAACAGAATAGTAGCACTTTAGCAGGTAAAGGCAAGACTTGAGGGGTACAGGCTAAAAAATAAAAAAGAAAAATAAGTTTGGGCACACGTTAAGAAAAGTAGCAAGCAATGCAAAGCATGCAGCTTAACATAACTCCTGCTTCCTCCCATTAATTCAAAGGGAAATTTTGTTTGAGCAACAAAATGCCACACGCTAAGACAACAAAAATGCTTCTGCAGTGGCTGTATTTGATTGATTACGTGGAGAATTTTATTTATTTATTTATACACAAAACGTACTGAGCAGCCCGATATCTGCTCAGCAGAGCTGCCTCCTATGTCCCACGGTATCTGATCCGTACCAGCTCAACACGCTCCTCTCCTCACTCTATGGACAGAGAAACTCCCTCCACCTCCACAATGTGA